TTACATTAAATCTGTCATTACATTAAATCTGTCATTAGCAATGATTCACTGATGGTGCCTCAGAAAGAATGAACGAAGGTGAAGAATTTATCTTTTTTTTTTCCCCAGAAAAATTTAAAAAATTCAAGTCCAAACTTTTTGTGTGTTGTGACTTGAATTTTGGAGTTCTGACAGAAGGATCTCCCTCAAGTCCCTCACACCCTTGATTTTCAGTGTCCTAATGGTATATTGAGCCCTCAAAGTGTAATTAAAATTCAGGAAAATTCCCTAAAAATAAAAAAAATTCTCATGGGATTTATCTGCCTGAGTCCCTCTGGAGGAAAATCCATCTTATCGCAAGATATTCATCCGAGTTATATGAGAGGAAGCACCTCTGACTGTGCTTTTTTTTCTGCCCAGTGACTCTGAGAAGATGAGGAGCTCAGAGAGAGGAATGATTCCTGGACAGATAAAGTGGGATGAGATTAATAAAGTAAAAATATGCTTAAAAAAAGCTTTGCCAAAGCAGGCACTCAGAGCTCAGGAGGCCAAAATAACCGGATACTTTTCACGTTAATCTTAATCTATTTATCAGCTTCCCATTATCAAAATCAGGATAATGTTCTTGTCTCAGAGGATACTCTGAAGATGATTAACATTGGAAAAACACTCAGGAATTCCCCCCCCCCAAAAAAAAAGGAAAAAAAAAAAAAGAAAAAAAAAAAAAAGCCCAGGAGGAAAAAAAAATTATTCTGTCTTTAGAGCAACCTTTGAACCACGGGGAGAAAATCCACCCTGGAAGCAACTCCTGCCCAATAAACTAAAATTCTCTAACAAATAATTGCTGCTCTCCGGGCATGGGAGGCTCCCACTTAAATCGAGGAGGCTACTGTGGCACGGAGCTGCAAGATAAGGTGTGATAAAAGGGAGAAAGGTAAGGGTTCACGAGCTACTTTTGTTTTTTTCTTATCTTAATTACTGAGAAATTCGCTTTGTACCGGCAGCCCGTTGGTTTTTTATCACATAGATTAGATTGTGTTCGTCTGTTGGGCTGTGTGGGCAATATATAAAATATATAAATATACACAACAACAGAGAAGTGATAAATGTTCTGAATTCTTTCACTTCCCGGGTATTTTTTTTTTTTTCTTCTTTTTTGAGAATCAACTCCTAAAATTGTCCTGGTTTCCAAAAGGAGTAAAAGAAAGGAAATATATATATATATATATATATATACTGTGGTTGGACATCTCCAAAAGAACAACTACAAATGGTGTTGGTAAAGGAGGTTTGATGCATCTTAAAGTTCTCAATCACTTCTGAAAATGCTTCTCATTGTCAGAGTAGGGATTGGGGATTCTAGGATATGTATTTTATTTATTTATTTATTTGGGATATATATTTATATTCTGGAGATATATATATCTATCTAATAAGATATACTTATATCTCATTGGATATATATTTATTTACTGTTAGTAAGTTCAGGTCCATATATATTTTATATATATTTTATTTATTTATTTATTTACCTATTTATTTATTTATTTATTTATCTGGGATACATATTATATTCTGGATATTTATATATATATATCGCCAATGAAATATACTTATATCTCGTTGGATATATATTTATTTACTGT